TCTGCAACTTCAGGGCCATCCAAAGGACGTTCACAAAGACCATGCCGGCAATCCTGGGTACATCTTAGTTGGGAATTCACCATGAATGAATCGAATGGATCGGATATAGCCATGGTGGGGGGAGAGTGGATGGGCAGGTGGGTAGTCATATTTGATTGTGCCGCTGTGGGGCAACCAGCAAATTCTTCTTGCACCGTATCTGCAGCAATTGAGACACAGTGCTCTGGGATGCTGTTTTTATGACGCTGGTGTGCACAAATGAGCCGAGGGACACCATGTCGAAGGAGGTGGACTGCAACCATGCCTTGCCGCAACAAAGCAACATGTTCCGAATACTCAGGAAAAGAACCATTCAATTGAACACTGCGAACATTCTCATTGTCATCAGCGAAGTAGGCAAACTGATATCTGTGCACATGGCATCAAGCAGCAAGTGAACACCAAAGCACTGCCTCAAACCTGGCCCCTCTGGTCAACACTAGGTGAGGTTCTGATTCTTCCACAAGTCCTTGCCAAGGAAAGAAATGGTATTGTCTGGTTGGTGAGTCTATAGAACCCCGCAGAATAGTCAACATTATTTTAAAACATATCAATTATCAATGATATTATAATGTTACAAAAAGAAAGTACAACTCATCTCAAGAACGCCTCGCAAAATAGAGCACATCATTCCTTTCCAAATCCAACTTTCAAGATACCTGACCTGCTTTGCATCTGTTCATTCCTAAGCAGTGGCCAAAAAGGACCTATTTTTTTTTCACATTCGCACCCGAAAAACGGTCAGACAGTCCAGGAAAGGTGGGGTCCTTCTTGCAATGGATCCGCTTTAAAGAGCTCCTCGATCTCCTCTTCATCGCCCATCGCATCGAGGACCTGGCCCGGTCGCGAGCCGAACCCGCGGGCTTCTCCTCCGTTGGCTGAAGAAGGCCAACATCTCCGGTATGGAAACAGGTCATGATAGGTCATACCTGGATCTTCAAACCAGCGGTGTTGCCGGAGGCATTGTTGGACAAACAAATGCTGGTTGAAGTGTTGCAAGCACATGCTGCTTGGAGGTCCACCACCTCGTCACCACCGACCAAAAGGTGTTGCTTGCAACAGCACAACACGCCGTAAAGGGATGGTGAAGGGCATTGGTTCCGGCGAAGGCGCATGATTTCGCAAGTTTTCGAAGATCCAGGTCTAGCATGGTCTATCCTCTCCAATGCCACATGGCGGCAGCTTCAAGGTCCATGCTCCATGGTCTTCCGCCGCCCAAATGCCGTTCGACGCGCCTTTCTTCTCCCGTTCGTCGTCGGGTCGAACGAGATCCCGAGAAACCACCCGTCGTCTGCCCGTGGGTCCCTGGTGACTCGGGGCCCGGCCTCATCTGCATTGATCTCTCGGCGGTGCTTCTTCGCGAAGGTCGAAGTGCGACTCGAGATCTTTTCGAATTGTCGGCGCACCTCGTCGGACTTGCCACCTTGGCAAGGGGTCAAACGTCGAAGCGGAAAGAGTGGAAATGACCTGGACGGCACCTTTATATAATGGAAACAACCAGTGAATAGCGCAAATGAGCTCCCGCCTTCTGCTTGCATGACTCGAAGAAGACTTTTCTTCATGGTGGAACTCAAGAACATGCTAACAACATATGGCTGTAGGTCAAAACCAGGGACCTTGGTTGACCATCGAAGATGGACATAATAAACTACTTGGGTCAACCAGGGTTTCGGGTTGCAACATATCACAAAATCAGTCTTCAGGTGTCGTCGCACAGCATCCGTTGATATGCAAAAGTGTGCCAAAGGCTATTCAACAATTCAATACTAACAAAGGATGCAAAAGGCACCATTTGCGAAGTGCTCAGTCCCAACTCAAACATCAGGCATTTTGCAATCTTTAGGAAAGGTTGCTCTTGGTGGGAAGCCCTGGCATGGATCTGTGCACCACGAACTGCCTAACTCCCCTAGCCCACTAACACTACGAAGGGTCAAACCCCAATGAATCATGATGTTTTTTTTCTTCTGGATATGTCCAAATCATTTCACTCATCTTGCCCAAAATGGACATCGAAAACCAGTCCCCAAATCTACCTCCCAACCACAGCCCCACCCCCATCCTTACAGCCTCACCCAGGACTGTTTGGTATAGAATTTCGGTGTCATGGCCATGGCACCACTTAACGTGCAGGTGTCCGACATCATGTTGTAGTCCAAGCGCCTTTCAAACTCTTCGAGCTTGATCTTGTCCTTCACCGTTTTCAAACAAACAGGCGAGACGTAGGGCTCGTCTTTAGGGTGTTCGCAGGATGTGCCTGTGCCTCTAGACTCTATACAGTATCGTCTATACTATCGTCTATACATGCGTTTTTTACATGCGTGTACGCTCCCTGAAAGTGATGATGGAAGTTCCATCATGGCCCTTCAGGACCCTTTTCCACCCTCAAAAGTGGAGGTTTTCCACGTAACCAGCGACTCGGAGTCCAAGATATAGATAGGACGTGTCAAACGAGTAGGTTCCTCTTGGGACGTCAAACGAGCATTGCAAACACCTTTCGACCTGACCCGACGGGACGCAAACTGCGCTTGCGCATAAGCCCTTGCACGCAAGGCCTAGTCGTCAGACATACCTGAAGATCCCCACCAAGGCCTAAAAACGAGCAAGCCGAGCAAGCATACCTCCATGCTAGGCATAGCTCCATGAGAACTCCCCAGTACATGTAGCTACTCATGTGGCTCGTGTGCCAGCTGGGATCTCCTCCAGGGCGGCCATTTCCTCCAGGTGCCTTCGTTTCGACCGGTGTGCTGCACCATGCTGCACCCCGTTTAGCGTGCAACACACAATGTAGACGGGGGACGCATCAATCTACCAGAAGGTTTTTTACGTCTCGATATGTGTTCATCATGCTTCTGATTCTTCCTGAGCGCCTTTTTTGGTCTTTCATTCTCCGACGAATTACACGGTTGCACGTCTTCAGAAGAACACGGGGTGAGTGTAAGATGGCCAGTTTTTTCAACTGGAAATCACAAATGCATACACCGCCCAAAACCTTTGCTAATAAGATTAATGTCAACACTGGTCTTGGAGACCAAACCAATCATAAACCAAACAACCAGGGAAGTGAAACGAAGTGAAGCCGGGCGAAGCCAAGTGGATCGCCCCACCAGCATCCGCCGGTATGGGCTTTTCTCTTGCGCCGGCTTTCTTCCACCGAGCCGCTGCTGCACCAAACGTATAATCAGCAGCCGGTAGCTTTCGGACAGGCCCTCAATCCTTGGCTGACTTCGACCGGCAACCAATGGGGCAAGGTCGAAGCACCTCCCTTTTTTGGCCGGCCCAAACATGAGTCGGCAACCGACGGCAATCGTTTCTTTCAATCTATCATAGTCCATGGTGATCTCAAAGGTCTTACTATACAATAGACATTGTAGTAATTAGTAACTAGCCAGGCCAGGGAAAATGCGAATGGACACATTCATCGTTTGGCTTTTAGACTACATACTAACCCAGTGCCAGCCAAAAATACTTATTTATCATTGGCTACCTGCACATGATGCAACTGTAGGTGAGGGACATATATATATATATGGAATTCTAATGCGTCATACAAGTATGGCCCCCCAAATAGATAGAAAATGATAGAAACGTAGATCCCCACTAAAATAACTTGGACACCGTGCCACTATCTGTTTGGGGATCACGATATATGGACATTGCATCCTCAACCACCGAGCAGCCCCTCCACATGCGAGGCCACTGAGTTGGGCGATGTCGGTGAGGGCGCCCCCAACGATCGAGTGGTAGCTGACTTGTTGGCTTTCTTCCTGCAAAGGGGGTCGGTTCCGCAAGGGCGATGCTTGTCGAGGAAACACCACTGAAAGTACCGACTTGAAGATACTTGAAGGAGTCCTTTGGTTTCTTTCAGCTCCAGCATTGCATTCTCAGAATTCAAAAAACAAAGGAAGATAACTCACCCCAAACATCCACAGTTTCCGCCTATCAACCTTCGAAGGCGATGAAGGCAACGAGGCAGATGTCTCTGGCAATTCTGGCAAGGTCGTGGCGGTTGGGTGCTTCCTTGGGCGCAAGATGAGAGTACCAACGGGATTCTGCCGGAAAACATCAGCATGGCCGCAGCCACAAGAACAAGTCTTTCTGTTGATTCTTTTGTTCTTTACTGCCCAAATGATCAAATCATATCAAATCCATGCCCTGCCGATACCTTGTGGATCGATGTATGCATTCACATGACATAGTAGGGCGGCCCGGGTGGCGCGGGCTTCCCTCCGCATCAATCGTCCAACACACAAAGCGTGCCAAGTGGTCCTCCTTTTTGCCGTGCGTCAACTCACCGCGGAGCGGTGGCGCGCTATTCACGTCTGGCACCTCCGGGTCCTGCGCGACAAGGAGGGCCCGAGACAGCGCTATAGCAAAACCACTGGGGCGCAAACAACCCACAGCTCTATAGATTCCAGGTCTGGAAGTTCAGAACGGTTTGCAAGGTTTAGGGTTGACCTTGAGACACCGTGATGGTAGCCAAAGGACAAGCCGGTGGGTCGCGTAAGAATGGAGGTATACCAATCCATAAATCCAAGAAAACAGCAGGCATCTGTCATATGCCAGGTGCACATTGGCATACATGTGCAACACGCAAACACAAAGTCGGTGACACTACCATCGGGTCACAGCGCTTCATTGTCTCCTCTGTTTCTGGCACATTTGGATGGTGAAACGCCGCCATGGCAGGTGCTTGCGAGCTTCCACAGCTTCGTGGCGCGACGAGTCTCGCCCCAAAGGTGGCTCCGCCTCCTATCTATCTCTCCCTGTGGCTTCCAAGTCCAGTCTGTCTGTCAGTCAAAGCCAAACACAACGCAAGCAACAAGCCAGCCAAACAGTAAAACAGCCGTTCCAGCCGTTGCACACCACCAAGCCCAACAGCAACAGGCACCGCGCCGACTACCACGTCGGTATCTGCCAGTCTCCTCACAGAAAATGACTCGTGACTCGTCTTGGCCACCGACCCCACTGCGGCAAGAGAGCTGAGGGTTCAGCACGGCCAAGATGTCTCCCACCTGTGAGCAATCGGGGAAGCCACGTGATCGGCCTCGGATCTGCGAGGGATCCGGCCTCCAGCGAGCCCCTTCTTGTGGAGCATAAATGTTGATCATGCCCCCATGCGCCAGTGAAAAGAGTCGTTGGCTTCAAGTACATGACTTCTTGACAAGTGCCAGTGCCAATCTATGTTATGTCATGTTAGTGTTACATTATATCTAGTTTGCAGGTTAGGTATGGTTAGGTAAGTGGGTGCCTGCTCACATCTCGCCAATCCACCTTAAATCTCCCTGTCTTCCCTCAGGCCTTGGCCCCTGTAGAGCTCCAGTGCTCTAAAGCACGGCCAGTCATGACAAGGGTGGCCTCCAAACGGCGGACCATCAGCGACTGATGGCGCTGGCGCCCCCCCAAGATGTCTTCTTTTTTTGGGGCGTCCATGAAAAAACCACCGACCGAACTGGGGTAGCTTGTGCCATACTACTCTGAAACCACTGGTTTTTGCCCTGTAGAACTAAACCACTGTAGACTCCAAAGTTCCGAAACTCTCTCTTCTCTCTCCCGTCTATGGGCATCACAGGTCGTCTGGGCATCTGTGGCTGACATGTGCAGCTCCACTGATGGTAGCCTCTACATCTGCAGCTCCACTGGTGATTCTAAATAATGAGACATGGATGTCTGACAAAGTGGAGACGGAAATTCTCCCAGGTGGAAATTTGTATGTGATCTAAATGTTGGTCTCTTCGGTCGCTTCTTCCACTTGTTCACTATAGGTAGTAGTGGCTTTTCTGGCAGAACAGGACTGTGAAGTTGGGAAAGCTCCGCATTAAACAGAACCGATTATATAACACTGTGTGGTTGGAAGGAGACGTGGATTCGTTCCAGCGTGAAACCACAACACCCTCATTGACTCATGGACATCGACAAGTCGGCAGCCAAAATGCCGCGTGACGCCGCATGACGCCACGTCGCAGGGCACCGCCCTGCGCCAGGTGCTACAGGTGGGGCACCTCAGCAGGGGAGTCCAGGTCCAAATCGGTCAGCTTCCACTCCTGAGATCCAAATCCGCCCAGTTCGGTCGGTTGCAAGCGAAACGATCAATTCGAGGCAGGCGAGGCGGCCAGTCATTGCCTTCATCACTGCTACACGGTTTAAACACATCATCAGTGACTACACGGGCTGACTACTGGTGGATCAGCTTGCTGCTTGCGAAGACCAGAACTCTCTGTAGTGTTTTAGGCTCCTGGGATTTCACAGGGAAATACATCTTATGTATTCTTATGTGCATTTATAACTCAACATGGATCAATCACAATCGAACCTTGTCAAAAAGGACCATGCATTCATTGGATGGTCTTGCACCGTTAACTCACTTACTTACAGGGAATTGTTCGAACATGAGTCAACAATCTGTAAATGTTCAATGACAATCGCTGCAACCAAGGGGCGCTAAATGTGGTGTTGGAGACCGTATCTGTGGAGACTTTGCCAATCCCGCACAGGACTCCAATGACGACCTGGCAGTGGGAGACAGCCGAAGGCGTGGGTTGCTCAGCATTCCACACACGCCAACCACACACGCGTCGGGAAAAGGACGAAAACGTGCTGAAGGGAGTATCTGGGTGGGGACCGAATATGATTGCTCGAACTTGTGCACAGGGTTGTGGAAGAACCTCCCGTGAGTGGTAAATGGAGTGCTCGCTGAATATATGTTCTTTGCAGATCTTTGGCATTCCATACGGATGATTTGCTCATTCGCATGGCCTTGTCTTTGCCTTTCCGCAACCTGGACAACAAGATTCGGCAGCCAGCTTCATGGACACCGAATCAAATAAACATTTTTTAACATGCGAGGCATTGCGAGGCCGTTGGGGTCCTCCTACTTGGCATTGGTAGGTACTTTCAGGATGTTGGGGCAACATGTCGAAACTGCAAAGAGAAAGAACTCGAATTCTCTGGTCATTGCCAAAGCGAACAGGTCATCGGAAGGGTCCCGCGCTGGGACCTCTCGCACATGGCAGCAATCCCTCAGGAGCCGACAGTCCTCCCAAGTGCTGAATCGGAACCAAGTCCTACGGGGCGATCACCGAGACCGATGAATGGCCCCGTTGGAGCCCTCCACGGAATGGGTGGTACCTTTCAGCGGATTTCAGGGTCGAAGAGCACTGTCCACATGTAGACAGATCGGTTTGTTGTCCCAAATGCAGATCGACCTGAAGCGGTCCCATCCGCCCCTGATTGCTATCCCCCTGAGCCGTGACTATGGGAACTGTGCATCATTTGATTTCTCTGGCGCCCGACCTGCACCATGTTAGGACACCCGTCCTTTCCCCGCATGGATGCGTCCCACTTCTCCTGCTGGAATTGAGCGTCAGGTTTTGGATTAGTATGGATTAGTTACTATCACATGATACCGCATGTAATATCATGGCATTTGTGGATCGCAACCTTCATTGGCACTTGCTGTGAAAGTCAATGCGCCCCTTACACACCAAACTGTGAAAGGTTCCGCACCTGCCGAATGCAGCGGTCCACAATTCGAAGCCTTGGAAACAAACAAGAAACGGATTGGATGCACCCGGATGGTTCCTTGACCTTTTTCGCGGTCGTTCTCCGGGTCGGTTGGCAGTTCTTCAGGTGACTGATGATGATTCCAGGTTTCCACATCGATCCATATCACACATTGGATTGGCTTGATGTATGGAGTGCCATAATATATATATATATGTATGTATGTATATATATCCTTGCATATCCTTGCCATTGACCGCCCTTAAAATGTTCAACTACCCCAATGCAAATCTGCCAGTGTCCTTTCCCGTCGATCTGCGGAACGTTCATCGCTTTCCGGGTGCCCAACCCGCTCCAGCGCTCCGTCGTGCGGTCGCGTTCGTCGGCTCGTTCTTGATGCGCCTGGCACCATCCGAGAAAACACTCTCCAGGTCTTTTCGGTGTGCCCTGCGGTGCCTTAGCCTCTATCGATTTCAGCTCTGAAATGTGGACCGGGAAAAAATAAAAGACGTTCCGGGGACGCTGGGAACGGATGAAGGCTGAGTAGCACTCCTTCTTGGCTTTCATCGTGAGCTTGGCGCAAAGAGCTTCCATCCGAGCCTGGCTGCTGGGGCTCCAATGTGTCACTGGCCGCTTGGGTCGAAGAAGGCCACCGCAAAGCACAACCAAGGCTACCGGTGCGTTCACAATGCGCCTTAAATTTGGGTCCAAAAACACTTCAATTACTTAACTTCGAGAGATCCCCACCATGACATTTCAATGCATCATAACATGAAAGTAATGCACGTAATCAGGCCCCACTTTGTTTTTCGCCAAGTGTCAGGTGACGGCTGTATACGGCTGTTAGATTTTTATGTCAGCTGCCTCGCCCGGCTCGCCCGCCTCCGCCTCACCTCAACCGCAAGGTCCGTGCGGCAGTCTTCCCCGCCGGACCGAGTTCCGCTTGGCAGTGTTCCCTGCCGGACCTCAACCGTCAGCTCCCGAGTGCACTGGGCGCTGCTGCACCTGAACCAACACACAGACACAGACGCAACTAAAAACACACAATCCCAAACACAAACACAAACACACAATAACAAACACACTGCCACAAACACATCCACAAACGGACAATCACAAACACGCAGCCAAAAACAAAGTCACAAGCACGCAACCACAGACACAACCGCAACACACAGCCACAAAGACACAGCCACAACACACAACCACAGCACACAGCCACGACACACACACACAACCACAGCGCACAACCACAACACACAACCACGACACACAGCCACAGCACACAACCCGAGGATCCACAAGCAAAATCGAGAACCATAAGACTCACAACCATGGCAACATGCTCCTCACCGTGGCAGGAAGACAAGAGATTGAAGTGTCTTGGTGGGGACCACTCCAAGTAGAGTAAACTCTTGTCTTATATCGCAAAATGTTGGTATTGTGAAACATCAGGGCTGGCGCACAGAGTCGCACTTGCCAGATGTGACTAACATTCGTGCTACAAGAGCTGGCGTTTGAGGTCCGGCGGGGAACGCCAAGCGGAACTCGTGGTTGAGGTCCGGCGGTTGAGGTCCGGCAGGGAACACTGCCATCCAGAGCTGGCGGTTGAGGACGGGGCGGAGGAGGACGCAAAGGCGGAGGCGGAGGAGGAAGGCAGCTGACATAAAACTTAAAAACCTTCAGCTGACAGGTGGGGAACAAACTCTTGGAACTCTTGTTACTAGTATAGCCACTGTTCCTCATAACGCACTTGTTACTAGATGTTACTAGTAGCGATGCACCTGGGACTCTTCGCTTCTCTTGACTCCCTCGTGGCCTTTCTCGACTCCCTCAACTCATCTCCGCTCGTGGCCTCCTGGCGCCGCGGAGACACGACGCTTTGCAGACGCGACGCCGCGCGGGTGGGTCCTGCGGATCGCCTGGCCCAGGGGGCGGCGCCATGGCCGAAACAGCTCTGATCTGTGGAGAGAAGTGGGTATGGCATGCGGACCATTTCAACAAGTGGTTCTAACAAAGACCGGGGAAAGAAGTGGTTCTTAAAGAACCTCATCCACATGGAAGTTTCTGTTGATGATGCTTTGACAGCTTCGATGAGGCCACCCAATGCACAGCGTACATGCTGTAAGCACTTGATGCGGGAAATGGACGCACCTTCTGCGGCTGGGAAGAACATGCACAAATGGCCAAAGACAAAGCATATCCGACAATTACAGGATTTGGATGGATTTATTCCAGGTGTGGCAGGAAGTTCCATGGATGTTCCACAAAAACGAAAAACCAGGATTCCGCAGGGGATCTGTGGATTTCTTGCATCGACGGATGTCACATCGACGTTTACAATCTCTCTCGCACATCTTGCAAACGCCCAATGCACATCTCTTTTCGGCCTACGCATCGGTAGGCGTGTTGCGAGCACACACGCGCAACACAGCGCCTGGCAGCTCTCTCAACTAAACACGGGACTTCTATGTATAGCTATGCCGGTGAAAGTGAGCTTTCAACAACAACTGCCGTTGACCTCTGAAAATGATCATTCTCTCACTGTGCATCATTTCTACACATAAAAGTAAGTGTCAAAATGATGGCTTTTAGGTATCATGGTGCTGCATCCGATGTTTGGTGGAACTGAAGCCGTTCAGCTGCTTAGTTTGCTGCTTCATCAGGTCGGACCCAGACCTTTGGGCCCCCAAGGGCTCCCAGGCCGTCTCTGACATTCCATTCAGACCATTCCAAGGCACCTTTGCAGAAACAACTACTGGCATACACTCGGGAAGAGGACCTGATGACATGGACCAAACTGGAAGACGATGTTCCTTTACAACCTAGTGGTTTTCAGGTTCCGCGTTAAATCTTCCAGGGTGCATCCTTTCTCCATCTTTCTCGGCATCTTGCTGCTTCCAGACTGGCCACACCTCCGAGTAATTAACCCCGTTCGCTCAGTCCAACGAAGTCAGCCTCGCACACAAAAAGGGAGTCATCCATCTGGGGAGGCAAGTGACACCAACAACGATAGGGGTTGACACATGTTGACACCACGCATGAGAGGTTCTGGTTTTTTGGGGGGCATGAGCGCCGCAATGACCTTCCAGACCAACAAAGCTCTTTGCATTGCTTCTACGTCCGGCATGTTACATGTCCATCCATCGATCAACCGTTGGCATCGGCTGGTCTCAAGCCTTGCCACAGGCCTTTTTTCAAACGCCTCTGAGCGAACTGTACAGCCCAGCTCGCCGGCCGTGAATATTGAACCGCTTGCCTTGCAATCACTGACATACAGTCTTTCTCACTTCAAGAGTAAGCTACGGACCCGCATGCGGCTCCAATGGTGGCTATAATTAACATCCACTTCGGGGACGATATGGCTTTAGCTCTGGCTTTCGCATTGGTCAAAATTGAAGGATTGGCAACACACACTCGAACACCCCTTCTAACCATGCCCGCCAACAAAGAGTTGAAAGGAGTAATTCCGTGCTGGATTATATACCCCATGTGTGGGGCTGCTTCAAGGTTCCAACTCACCTGTCCATGTTAGAAAATGTTAGACACATCTCTGATCCACGGCTGGCTTGCGTCACACGGTCTTGATTCATTGATGGCACAGGCTGCAAATAGACCGTATTCCTCGACCTTGAATATCTTGTAATATCTTGTAGCGCTACTTCAACCACGGAAAACAGATCAAAGGCAACAGTTCCTCGTCAGGCCCATCTTTTTGCCTCGGGTCATTGGGCGCGTCCGCACCTTTGGTGGCCGGACCAACCCTGACAGTGGAGTTCTCTCAGGGGAACGAGCGCGCGGAGGAATCCGAGTCGGAGAAGTCACTCAGGCTGGGAGAAGATAAGTCGGAATTCTGCCTGGCGGTCGACACGATGATCTTTGCCACGACCACACCTCAAAACTTTGGAGACACATATTTGCCTATAGATGCCTATATAGACTATAGACATCTATTAGCCCATCTACCCCACCAGCCCTCCAAGCTGAAACAAACGAGCTGGGACTGCAAAACTCTGCTTTCAAAAGCCCACGTAAAAGGAGAACATCAACAATCAACATCAATCAACTAAATTTCACTAGTCAGTCTGTTGGGATAGCTGAATTCACTGAAAAAAAGAACACCCACACTCGCCGCCTTGCCACAGCAACTTGCCACGGCTCCGCATTGGTGTCCGGCGTTGAAGGTGCTGGGAAAAGGACGCAAAAGGCATACAGTGGAAACAAAAAACTTGGAATCAGAACCCTCCAAAACTGAGCATTCTGGGTTGAAGTTCTACTTGAAATCCAGTCACACTGCAGTAGATCTTTCCACTCAAATACTTGCACAAATTCAATCCGATGGGCTCCAACCTGGTACATCAAAAAGTACAAACTTGACCAGGTCAAGCGTAATCTAGCTGCATACTATCCGCATCTATCCGCTCTACAGTCTGCGCGCCTCCTGCTTCGTAGATGTTTTTGATCTGTGCGTCACTGGCCGCCACGCCAAAGATCTGGAAGTCCGACATGTAGCCCCAAGACTCCTGAGGTGCGAACCAATTTAGGACTGACGCGTCATGAAGAAATGCCCATCATCCCGTGAGTAGGAAAATGTGGGGAAACATGGGAGTTTCTCCTCCCCAAAACAACGATCGGCCCTTCTCTCCCCGGAACATCTTCAGGGTATCGCGACGTTTGGCCAAAGTTGTCAGCTCATGTCAGTTCGAACATGTCATACCGCGCTCGCTGCTCGCTACTCGCTCCGCGCTCACGCGAGTACGCGCGGACCATCGGCTGCAGCTCAAGCGACGTTGCAGCCCCTGGAGTTGCCGACCACACCGATGGCGCCCCGGGCACGACCTCGTTTCGTGCCCAGGCTCTGACCGTCCACGTAGTACCTCCACGTAGGCCCAAGGAGAAAAAAAACAGCACAGCAATGCTGCAAACAGTTCTGGCGTGGAGCTTGTGGAGCTCTTGAGCTCTTAGATTCAGACGTATTCCTTGGTTCTTCACCACTGCAACTGTCTGTCAATCCTGTAGTTCTCTTATGTTCTCGTCTTGATTCTTGTATGGCGTTGTCTACATCTCCGGCCGCTCAACACTGGTTGCGGCGCACGTGGTGCACCGTGTCTGGCCCACAACGGCAATGTGATGCCAGCCCGAGGTCAAGTCACGCGCATTGAAGCCCTCAATGAAGGAGTTGCTATTGTAGTTCCTTAGCAATGAGTCAAGCAAAGTGCAATAACCACCCTTGAATTAAAGTTACAGTTACAGGGTGTTGCTCCACATGTGTCCTGTTTCCAGATGGTTTCATGTTTCCTGATGTGAGCTTCTACTACACTCGCCTCCAGGTACTGAATCCGGAAGAAAGCATCATGCATGCGTACACACACACACATATGTATATAATCCTGAGTACCTATTAAAAAACGGACCCCTATTAGAAAAAAGTCATGTCGGAAACCCCTAAATACGGTTTATATTTGTTTTTAAATTACCGCCCTTTCAAGCCGCTACTAAACTACCAACATTGCCGACTTTGGAGGAGTTTTTTTTTAAAATTAGGTTCCAAAAACAACCATAACTGCCCACCTCTGTCCGCCCTGTCTATCCACCATGACACGCCGCGCTTACACCAGCAGGCTTTCCTTCCCCCAATGGCACGGACTCACGCAAACGCACTTGCCACCGAGGTCATGCAACACCGCATGGCACAGCGACATCACCTTTCGAAAGCTTTAGCTGTTAGTCTACTGAAGAATCACTATTCTAATGAAGGTTTTTGTAGGGGAAAAGGAAGACCCTTCGATCTGGAGCTTTTTGCATTTTTTTAATACGAGTTTAATATTAAATGATTTTATATAAAATTTTACTGATTTACTTTTTGGTTTTGAAGCTCTTCCCAGGTGACCTATTTTACACCCCCCGATTTCAGGGACCCCCTATTAAAAAAAATGCGACCGAGGTTTCCTTATTAGGGGGGGGGCCCTCGTGTTTTTTATTAGGTGGACCGGATTATACATACAGTCGTATAAGTATGAGTATTATACATTTCAATATATGCTAATATGTGTGACTATGTGTGTGTACAATGCGACTTGTCTCTGCATCCTTTGGTCTCCAGGGCACCCCAAGCGTCCACGCGCCAGGATCACGGCGATGCGCTCTTGGGAGTTCATGGAATCTGTGGTCCCGCGGAGGACCCGAGAGGAGGGGATCAGATCGGTCGAGACAACATCCCCATCTGTTCCACACGAGAAGAGAATCGGAACTGTCATCCCTTGGCATTTTGCACGTCTGTTTTGGGGCTGATATTGTACCACCAAGGCGAAAAAGACCGTGAAGACTGAGACACTGATGCAAACACTACCTTCACTCAACATGAACTGTTTGCCCCACAGCCAGTGAGATGTTTCACCAATGGGCTGAACGAAGTTCCGGCATGTTCGAACTAGCCCTGCCTACCAGGTCCCTGTAGGTGTGGTCGCCCACATCGATGGGGCCCAGCGTCCAAACAGAAATCGTCCACTCCTGACGGCCCCGCCCGGGAGCCATGGAAGTGATGGGGCTTTGGGTCAATGGCACGAGGACACCTGGAAGTCACTGGAAAGCTCCAACTCGCATGGCCCTGGTGGACCAGGGCTCCATCCGAAATGGAAATGGAGGATGGACTTGATACAGGTGTTTGGAGCACCACCTCATGTGGGGTGCCTCTTAAAGGAAGGACCCCAGGATCCATGAAGCTTGAGTCGTTTCCACCAATGCCACCTACACCGGCCAGAGCTCGCCTCCCCCAGGGCGACCGGCTTGGGCAGGACCAAGCAGCCGCGACCTTGAATATTCACACCCGTCCTGCCAAACGAAAACCCATGATCGGCCCATGATCACCGAACAATGGAATGGTCACTAAACAATGCAGACGCGAATGAATGACTAAAATTCATCCAGTTTTGCAGACTTTGTACATGGTCGGCGTCGGCACTTGCATCGGAAGTCCTCCCTGAAGTGGTAATCGACACCACTTGATCTGGATGGTCCACGGAGCCTATTCAGGCAGCTGGCTCAACGTGGTTCAAAACGCGCCCAGTCAGACTGAACACCAGCTCTTTTCAGACACGGGCCGCTTTCAACTCCACACAAACGTTGGTGACAAAACACCGGCGCCGGTGTTTATCTCACCACGTTTGAGCAGTGCACTTCTGTGTGCCTGATCTGCCAGATACAGAATCGAAGGCCAACGAAGCTGGGTCTTCAAAGGCCAACCTCACCACGGGATTCGCCACCAGGCTATCCACCAGAATGAGGGTCACTTCCTTAGCTTGTAACATCTTGTAACCGTCAACACAATCTCCGGAGCTCTGAGAAACCACCCAGCCTTGATACAATCTCTCAACATGTTGCAAAATCCCCGCTGAAGTGGCGAAATGAGGGCAAGAAATAAACAGGTCCTGAACCAATCGTAGTGTCCTGCTCAAGGTCGTAATCCATCCTCAGACTACACAGCGTGACTCGGCTTGATTTAGCTGAGAAAATGCCAAGCATAGCACAGAGCCTTGGAACCAATTCACTCTCATGTGACGATTTATGTCGTGCAAGTTTTGGGGTCGCATGGGGCCAACATCTTCCCACCATCCTTGGTGCTTGAACTGCCCAGTGTCAAGAGCTCGAGATCTTGCATATCCATGACTTGCTCCTGCCAGGCGGAGCGAGGCGTCCAAAGCATCTTCCCTCATTCAGCCTCGTTCGTCCAAACCGTCCAGACCGACGTGGCACGAGGAAGAGAATTCATTTGAATTCATGCTTTGCCCATGCCCTAGTAACAAGAAGCTACTAGAAACAAGTGCCACGCTACTAGGAACAAGTGCCTTACTGGTAGTAACAAGAAGCCTCATGGCATCAGACATGAGGCAAACAGTCGACTGTGCGACTGACTCGTGCAGGAGGCCGACCGATCCGCTCTCAGCACCGATCCGGCGCTCGCTCTCCGTGCAACGACGCGCAGTCGGTGCGAGTCCGCTGCGCCTGAGAGACACAAAGCTTCACGACGCAGCTTTGGCAGTCATGTTCAGCTCGAAGGCGTTGTTTCACCTGAGGGAGTTCATATGACAATCCAATGCAGCATAGACAAATACAGGGCTTAAAGTCGGCCTATAGGCATGCTTAAGTGACAATGTTGGTGAATGTCAACATACATATTTCCACCACATGTGCAAATTGAGAAACTTCTGCACCGGGTGGCCGTCTTAACGGTGTCCACTGCGGGTTGAACTTGTACAGGAAAGGCTTTCCCAGCCAGGTTCTGGCCATACAGCGACCGCGTGACTCGTGTTCTTCGGGCATGGTGCTGGCCACATCAAGCATTTCGATACGAGACCTGGAACCACGTTTTGGAGACCTGGAACATGGTGAACATATGGTCAACGCTTCTCATATACTTTGTAGATGGAGTAACGGAGCCAGTGATGAGCAGTGGGTCAATGGAACATGAGGGTCAACTTCATCATTGATGTTGAGATACGTTGAGGCGCCTTTTTTCCCCTCAAGATTGAGCGCATGGCACACCTCAGGTCAGGGCCATGACGTCGGGTTCCGCTCGCCATCGGCCCCCCCCGGCGACGCCTTCGGCGCGAAGTCCAGGGTCAATGCTGCTAAGCGCTGGTTGCCTGGGCTGGGCTGTGCAGGTATGTGCAGGCGACCCGGTCGAGGAAACCTGTGCCAGAGAAAGCGAAGGCAACACTCGTCTCTCTTTTGGTGTTGGGTCGAAGGTGCACTCCATTGGATAGCTGGAGCTTCCGGTCGTATTGTGACTTCATTGTAATGCTCGTGCTGTTATCTTTTACCAAGTTGCGTTGGGGCTATGTTGTCGAGACATGCCGGGAATGGCTTGCCTTGCGTTCATAATCATATGTGTTTTCCTTCCTTTCTTTCCTTCCATCCTTCCACCCTGACGCTTGCGGCCGACCACTGCCCCACCCTCCGAGCGACAGTATTCCTGCAAGGTCTCCGTCCGCTTGACGAGCTCCTTCAGCGTCACGGCTGTGGCCTCCACACGGGGAGAAGCATCCGGAGACCTCCGCCCCCTCTGTTCGTGTTCCTTGTTTGGCACCGGCATTTCACCCGTTCCGAGACGTGGGGAACCGTCTCGCTCGAAGAACTGGACCACTCACGCAGTCCTTATCCGAATTCAATGTGTAGCTCACTGACATGACTTGAGAACATTGAATTTGAGTTCATGTATGGGTGTATGCGTACTACTGTATACACAGCATTCTTTGTCTTGCACGTCTTGCGTTCCGCACCTTGCAATAGGGCACCGAAGGCTGATCCAAGAACTCCCGGCGCTTGGAGAGCAGCTCAGCCACCTGGTCCCCGCGGTCCCCGGAGACAGTGAACGATCGCCGACGCCGATGTAGATGCGTCACACGCCGATGTAGACGCGTGAAGTAAGCCTTTGAGCCGAAGCATGAGCTGAAACATCAAGGAGAAAATGGATGAACATGGAATGCTTATGATTCATGATTCACTATGGTAAAGCTCTCCTTCACCCACCTTCAATCAAAAAAACACTGCGTAGGGGGATGAGTGAGGATTAGGGAAACATGCGCACCTGGATATTTAGCTGTGCGGCCTCCTCGAAGCTTTGGAGCTGCTCCTGATTCAACACATCGGGTTAACCAAACTGGGCCTGCCTTGGATGTGCTTTTCAACTGCACCACGAAACCTGCGAACATCAGATTTCCAGAGACAGTGACATGGAAACACCTGTCTTGTCTTGCTCAGAAAACCGTCCTTTTCAAACAAGAGCATGTATCTGAAGCGGCCCAGCAGTAGTTCTAGTTCTTGTTACCCCTTCAGCCCCCACGTGCCTCAGAAAACATGCTTGAGCGACGCCACAGAAAAACATATTCAACAAACGTGTCAAAACGCCACCCCGGTAAACATCAAAGTGGATTGTGAACACATGTTGAATTGCACAATCAAAAAACGTTTGGTGCCACAGACTGATGAAACATGATGGAACTGCACCGGGACAGAAACAGTTTCCAAACTGCTGAAGGATGTTGAGGGGCTGCAAATTGTTCAACGGCTGTGTCAATGCAGCCAGGCAACCCAACATGCAGTTCCATGTAAGAACAGTTATCATCTTGATGCGTTTGAAACACACCACCATCTCCTTCGTCAAATTGTGCTCTGGCAGGCTGCTCGATTCTGCACAGCCCTTCCAAAGAGCGTCTCGTGCAACTGGTTTCTGACCAAACAACCATGATCACTAGATAAAGAAAAAACACCTAAACCCAAGCCAAACAAATACCAACTGTAAACAAAACACGGTAATTGATTACAATAGACAATGACAACACCGCTTCCCCCAACCATAGTTGACTGTGCTCTGATTTCAACCGAAAGAACGTTTCTACAAACATGCCTTTCCAGTTGGACAAATCCACTCAATGCGTCTCACCCAAAGGGAACATGCCTCACCCGTCTTCTGGCTCTCTGGAACTTTCAAGTGCTGCGCCAACTGCCAGAGCTGCTCCTTAGCCAGCCAGCACTGAAAAAGTGTGAGGGTCTCGTGTTCCAGGTTGGGGTACTGCGTGGAATGTGACGTGTGGTCCCCAAAAAAATCAGCCCCTGTCTACACTTCTCGCTCACTAGCCGCTTGACCAAGGAGCCTGAAAGCCTTCCTTCTCCTGCACTTCTGGATTTGTTGTGAGAAGCAGCTACAGTATGGAGTTGCCTACTCCACCTCCAACCGCATCTACCTTACATGAGTGTTGAACAAAACACCTGCAGAATAAATCTGTCTTCGACTGTCCTTCTGCATCGCTTCGGCATAAGCCAAACGCACCCGATCAATCTCGCTTTCCAGTCGGACAACAAACTCTTTGTGCAGCGTGGAGGTCAACCTCAGGAAGGCGGCATCCAGTTGCACGTCATGCCACACATTGGTCTGGCACTGTTTGTTCCATCAAGTCTTCACAGAAGAAAAAAACATGAAAACATACTTTTAAAAACAACTGCTTAGATTCGGCCCAGTGGCTGCTCCACCATTCCTTGAAAGAAGTCACGGTGAACTTCGCGAGTTCGGCCCTGGTCGCTTGCAGCCGCCTCTCTCGCCGCATCCGCACTGCCGGGACCGGCTGTGGGGCTGACAACAAGGGCCGTCAGATGCCCTTCGGGACATGTGAAGAACAACGACACTTTTTGCTGATCACTTGCAAGTTGCCTGATAGGTAAGTGTTTCGCATTTTTTTGCTGTACGACCCGTATGGAGTTCTGGGCATCGTTTGCGGGTAATCGGTAATGAACATGTGCCAAGGATTCATCTTCCATTCCATCTGTCTGTTGTTTGATGATGTTTGATGGTATTTGGTTGGTTTTTTTTCGGAATCATCTCTTAGTTCTTAGTTCCCACGCTTTTAATGATGCGTCCTCGCCTTTCCGGTAGCGGCTGTCTTGGTTGTGCCTGCGCCATCGCCGCGTGGGTTGAGCAATGTAGGTGACCAGAGTATGTCGTCCCAATCATCCCAGCCCAATGCCAGGCATCCATGCAATGGATTTCTCGTGATTTCACCTAACTCATGCGCTAAGAACCTCTGCTTTTAGAGCAGTGATTTTAAAGTTTGACACAGTGGCCATCAGTGACCTTCAAACCCCAAAAAACGCGTGTCCAAACACAAAGCACCTTCTGGGTAATGATGCCATGTGTGAGGCGTTCTCACTCACCATGTTTTCATCATTTTTGACCTTGGACATTTTTCACCTCAAAAGGCTGAACAAGAACCACCAGGGCCTTCCATCTCCCCAAGCAAGCTCTCCAGCATCCTTGGACTGAGTTGTTCTGGATCCGCCATGGCGCTGGTGAGGGTTCCGCCTTCCAACCGTTTCTTTCGGAGTTTCACTTGGTATTGAAAACTGTTGGACATGTGCCGTTGGAAGGTTCAATTTGTGAATTTTTGCGTTTTCCACGCGCAGCGGTCCTTATGTTGCAAACCTTTTTGATGGTTTAGCCTGGTTCGTGCTTGTTGCTTGCAACATGCCGGATAGTGCCAACTCGTTTTGATGATTTTGTCTTTTTGGAATTTTGCATCTACTACAGAACTGGGCTGACTAATTGCTGGGTTTGTTACTGTATGGCCTCTTGATGCAGCACTAAATCGCAAGTGGGGCATTGCAGTACCAAACTGCGGATCAAACAACATAAACAACTATGTGTATATATATATATATATGTTGTTTTTTTTTTTTTTTTTAAATGTGTATTATATAAACTACACCCCACTTAGCTGATTCAATTTTAAGGGGTGGGTCTGTATACGTATGTAACAATATTGGAAACATTTCATCACGTTCTGGTTCTATTCTTGGTGACGCCGAAACTATGGGTGTGTGTGTTGGAAGCAAAGTGTACGACTGACGGGAGTACCTTTGAGCCCGTGATCGCGCCAACATGCCTGGAACAGAAACGTGGCGAACGAACCAATATAGATTGAAAATATTGGGGGGACCATGGGTGAAACATAACACAATATGATTCATATCTGCCCAAATGAGCCTCGGATGCTTCAATGTAGCTCGGGATGCCCTGAGATAATGAATATTATCCACACGTTTGCCCTAGTGTGAGGCACTAACGGAAAGCATTTGGGAGCGATGGTAACAATTTTGGCAACATCGACATGCCATGCGGATGGGAGGCTTATGCGGTTCGCTTCGGGCAGCCCGAGAGAGAGACCTGCAAACTATCTTTCATTTTGATGGGCCTGGATTTGAACACAAGTTGGCGAGGTCCCACTTCCATCTGAGCAGCGGGATTGGTGGGCAGGAACAATTGTATACTGTATATACAAGGAATGGTGGACCCCCCCTTTTGCAAACGCAACGTGCTTCAGGGGGAACACCCTTACACTGTTGACATGTTTTCCCGCACACAATAATTCATCCGAACTCAGGAGCTGGCAGTCTCCCCAAGTGCTGAATTGGAAGCGAATCCTGCGAATGACAGCTGCTGATGAATGGTAGGTTTTTCTGGGCTCATCAAAAAGAGCGCGCCTACAAAACTCATCCGCAATCCTGCTAATCCGAAAAATGCTTGTAATCCGAACAATCCTTAATCCGCAGTAGTCCGTAATCCTTACCCAGCCTTAAAATCCGTAATCCTTAAAGCTTGAGGAAGGAAAGAATCCAAACTTCTGAATGGGGTAGGGATCCTCACAACCCCGATTTGGAAACCACCAACTCAAACCACCGAACTTGGGGTTCTGGATTGTGAAGAGTTTTTGTCGCCATCGGGATTGTGAAGGGTGCTTGTGGCCATAGGAATCCTCACAGCCCCGATTTGGAAGCCACCAACTCAACCACTGAACTCGGGGCTCTGGATTGTGAAGGGTGTTTGTGGCCAT